ACAGATGAGAGAAAGGGAATAATAAATTGAGCATGTGATGTGACGTGAAGTATTCACGAATTAAATATTATTATTCGAATGCTTACATGTAGGTTCCAGTGTTTGTCGTTCGATCTCGACAACGTTGATGGTAGCTACATTCCGGGTCAAAGATGAGACTTAGGTAGCGTAGAAGAACAGCTGTAAGATGCATATTCGTTTCAGTCTGTTCGAATGGCTTGTCGTACGCACTACATACAGCCTCAATAAGTGTCCTTCCTGAAGGAAGATTGAAACTGGGTATGGGCACAATAGGATCTCTCCGAACGTCTGGAGGCATACTGACTTGAACTGCCTTTAGGAATTCAGCCGCTAGCTGAACAACTAACTCCAGCATGTTATGTACCCCCTCGAGCGTTTCAGCATCCCACGTAAGCACAGCAGAAGAAGTAAGTAACTTTAAAAAAAGAGGCGGGCTTGAGTAAGTGTTACAGGTTTAATATAGAAATGGACATAAAAAGGCTCGATGTCTGAAGAATAGACGAACAACGGAAAAATTGAAAGGAGAGAGACTGATATGGGGTCGATAGCAGAAGAAAGTCTTAAAAGTACAGATATCTAACGCACAGAATGTTTCAGTACGAGCATATCGTATTTAAGACAGAAAAAAATCGAACGAGTTCACTTAGATTGTAAAGGTCTAGTTCAGGAAACAGAAGATAAAATCGTGAATATCATAAATAAAACAGTTTTAATCCGGTCTGGTATCACTAATACAGCGTTATTTCCCTGCAGGCGGAACTCCGAATATTAAAAAAGCTAAGTCAGAGCTTAAGCTTCAATTAATTATTTGATTACTCATACAACACAGACTTTTAACGAGAGCAAGTGTGCAATTGCATTTTTGGACAAGGAAGGGTTATTACCTTTTTTAGACATTCATCCAGACAAGTTGTAACAAAACGGTTGAGTTCCTCAATCTTGCTGAATACAACGAGCCCCTGCTTTTCAACGAGACGAATAGAACTTTGCAAGCAGGTTCCAAACGACTGTGAACGCAAACAGGGGATGTTCCATTTTTCAACGAATACGCTGGCCTCTAAACGCGAAAATTCCGCTACAGGGAACTCGTCTGTGGGAGAGACGGATGACTCGGCATCAGATGCAGATTTTTTGCGATCGTGGTTCCCAATATCTGCAGAACTCAATCTTGCCTGGAAAATAAAAATCATAGATGAGTTTAAATAAACTAATGTAACTACACCAGCGTAGTTATACAATTGCATAACTGTTAATTAACAGTTGTCTATCAATAAAAATATATTTGATATATCAAGAATGCGAATATTTAAATACCAAAAGGTCGAACGCACATTTAATTTGTAACTTCGTAATAGTGTCATTTTTCCTTTTAACAGACTTTAAGCAGTTGTACAGAAGAAGAGACTTACATCAGAAGATTGAATATCGAGGATTCCATTGACAAGTATAGAAATAGCGGAGTCAATGTCGTTATTTGCTGTAAGAAGAGCCTCCTCTATCCTAGTTTCATTATCAAAACCCATGTGCAAGAGCTTTTGCACATTAGATTTAACGTCTGGGCCATCAAAACTCATTGGGCGTCCACTGAAAAAGGCAAGCAATAGTTCTACCACAGACTTTTTCAAGAATTATGACCTCAAGTGTACTACCTTATTTATACATATAAACAAAATTAATAGCTGTAGGTTGGGTGAATCAAAATGTAAATCTACCGTTATCCCGACTGCCAAAGCAAATTTCTGTCTCCTTATCAAAATATTAAATAACTGAAGCATAAATGTGATATCAGCGTTATATGCTCGAATTATAATATCTTCACTTATGCTCTTCTATCCCCGCATTACTGATGTTAAACAGAAAACGAAGCTGATTCGTTTTGCTCATAAACGTATGCTAAGAGGTTCTCTTAATATGAAACGTAAATATTTAGCTACTTTCCGTTAATCAATCATTCCGTGTTCAGTAGTTCGAGTAGCATGCTAACCGTCTGCTTCTTTATTCGCTTTGCCGTGCTGAAAAAGTCGGCGTAGGGGTTAACCTTAAGCTAGATAGATAAGTAAGCGAAACAGTGGGACTATAATTCTACCAAATACATTTGTGGCCAAGTTGTTTA